TCTTTCTACAGGTCTTGGATGCAAGAACAAACTTCTGACACTGAGAATATGACATGGTTGAGTATCGTAAACGGTGGCTGGTGCGCGTGGGCATCTTCTCAATTTCGTTGCAACTTTAATCAACTGAAATTTTCCGTTTCCCCTCTACTTCCAACGTTCCTGTCTTTTACCTACCCGTTCATTCAAATGGGCAACCGAAAGACAACAATCAAAACCAGGGTGCAAGAAAGTGCATGCATGGTTAATTTTTGCACAAATTGAAACTGAAACTCTTTCGGATTAGTGCTAATCATTTTCCTCGTGATAAATTTGGGTCATAGCAGTACGGGACATTTTTGTTTACATCAATCCAAGCGATCATTGTAACGAGTCACTTGTCCAGGTGAGAGATTTTTCTCAGCAGGTGGCGCGACTGTGGCTCTGGCAATGTGTGTTCCTTGCTCCACAGGGGCCATGTATCGGCATGGTTGAATCCGGGCATGCCTACCGCTGCCACCCCGAACTTGCGGATGTCTCCTGGTAGCCAACGATTGATCGCTACGGGAGTTTGAGGGCTTTAGGGGATGACTGAATTCTATGTGAACGCTCTGTGTGTATGGGATATTTCATGAATTACACAACAACAACTATGGAAGACGATTACAACGTCTAGAATAGTTTCTCTTTTTGAAACATAACTGATCCGAGATCAGGAGGATTAGGAGCTCTCTCTCTCTGTGCTTGTTTTATCCCGTAGATTCATCATCATGATCATCATTGTACAGTGAAACGAGCTTCACTGATCGCTGCCATACTCGCAATGTACACAACTTAAGTGAGGCAAAGAAAGTGAACCTCTACGGTCAACAAACAGAGCAGACAATCTAAGTGTGCATATATACCATGTATACCGTTTCAAGCATTCTGACCTGATCAGAAATGACGACAAGAACGACACTACTGTCAATTAGTCGCCATATCTATCAGTGTTTCCAACCAACCAGTGACAGGGTATTTTGGAACCCAACCTGGTAGACGGAAGACACCGATTCCACCTAATCGCGCAGTGCACTTCATCAAGCCTCGTTTCCACATCACCTGTTGACCTTCAATGCGGTTTCATCCAACCTGGAGCCGCAACAGCAAATAAGGCGCTGTGCGGTAGACAATAGGTGGACATGCGCAATACGTATCCTAATCAGCGAAACCGACTAGTCTGAATTAGAATCATGACCAAATACGTGACGCCTTACCTCATAGTTGCTTACAAGCTCACTCCATCTAACCCTCACCAAACTAGGTGAATATCCAACATCCCGTAGAGTCGAGCATGCGTTTCACTACTTATTACTTACCCGCACACAATAAACAGAAATCTCATCGATATTCTGTTGATGTGTTGTAAGTATTTGTTGTTTTCATGTTGTCACCGATCTCCACCAATCACCACACTCCTTGATACGGATTGCTGCTGAGTACCTATATTTGAGTGAATTAAGATTTCAACCACGGACCTCCTGGTTCAAAACCGAACGCGTTACTATAGCTCTGTTTTGTTTCCAGGACACACTTTTCCATGCGAAGACTGCCTTTTCATTTTATTTAAATTTGTTGTCGCTACGCCAATGCGTTGGGAATCGTTGCGATGATCGACATAAAGAGCACTCAGCCTCACTGGACAGAGCTGTTTCGTCCTGTTTCGGGTACTCGTCAGCAGTGCGCGCGGTCGTTGTTTTTTCCCCGTGCCCGGACTCGAACCTTAGCGAACCTTAGGGTGGGGACCTCAAACCCTAACCCCCTGAGCTGCGACTGTCGTGTTACCTTGTGTGAATGGCCCAATCGAGTTTCAGAGTATCAAAATTGGATTGGTACCGGGCACTGTTGATGATCTTGGGTGTGAGTTTCATTCCTTGGGAGATCGTGACTTTCTCACCAGTTAAACGCAATGGAAATCTTTGTGATGCTCGATACAACGAGAACTGGACAGAGCTGTTCTGTCCTGTTTTTCACAACCTTCAGTAGCGAGGGCAACTTTTGAACACAAACTAGATATTTTGTCCAATTTGCCGTCTAACTAATTTCCGTTTTCAACGTACACATACTATTAACCAGATCTCTCGCTCTCTATTCACATATGTGCATGAATTCCATCTCTCTCTCTCTTTCCCGTCTATCTATCAGATGCCGGTCCGGACGTGTGCGAAGAAGCACTGCATCCGAAATATCGACGACAACAAGATCGATGCCCGGCCGAAGAACATCCACTGGACATTCTGTCCTGCTCAGCTCCGGGTCTAACCAAGTCTTTGCTCACCCTGGGCACCGCTCTCTTTTCCACCCGCCTTCTGCACACATTCATTGTTTGAATGAGTGATCAAAATATCGATTACCTAAGCCCCGCTTTCTGTACATAATGAGCACATCCCCTTAGTTTCAAAATCCTTCTTTGCTCACATATTTCCCCGTATGTGCTCTGACATGACAATATGAATGATATCTATTGATATATGTATATGGGTGATAGATAAACTATATTCCGTGCCTCGTTGATCTTCCGTTCCAGTCAGAAAGTATTACTTTGGTATGTGTGAAAAAACAGTCTGACTGAACAATTTTGCAGATGTCTTATTTTGCTTTAATTATTTCCCATCCAATTCTATCTGATCAATTTTGGACGCCTGATGTATGTTTCTTTTGTTCTTGGTCTTGGTCGAATTGACAACTCACAACGAAATTCACGTGTTACATGTGGTTGAGTAATTCTCCTGGCTCGTACTGTCCACAGTTTGTGAATCCAGTCGATGCCCACG